TTTGGAACTTACAGTGAGAAAGATATACGTTTGATATTTATTTAAATCGAGAAAGAGAGTTCTAGAACAGTCTAGTGCAGGAACAGAAAACAGACCACATGATTCAATTATGACGAACTTCCGTAGAAATAGGTTAAAACAGAAGCTGAAGTGACAAAATATAGGTTATAAAAACGAATTTTATCGTGAAAACAAAGCATTTTTCCTTCTTATAAGAAAAATTCGATTATAGTCGAATATAATCATTGTGTAATATAATTTGATTGCTTGAATTATTTTTACAGAGAACGAAAGTCAGAAATAAACATATCTTCGCAAATTTAAATTATAAATCGACCAATAAATTTGATTCGTAAATTTAAATAATGGCAATTATCGTTAAATCTTATAATATTTATTTGGAAGAATAATAATTCATTAATAAATTGGTAATTTAATAATCTGTGATTAATAAGTATTATACAGTGTTGGGTAAGTTAATGTTTTTTTTAAACGAAATTAAATTAAAGTTAATGGCTTATAAAATTAATAAAATTAAGTTAAAAGTTGAAGAAATAAAGAATTAACTTAATAAAAGTTAAGTTAAGATCGAATTAACTTCAGTTTCAAAAAAAGATAATTTTGAAAAAAATTATTTTTAAGATTAGAATTTCCTAATTTTTCTTAAAATGAAATTATTTTAAATAACGTGCAAATACAGATTATTAGGTAAATTTAATTTTATAGTCACATGTAAGTTACTTATATATAATCAGAGTCACACCATATAAGGCGTTTTAGAAAAAATCTTGCGAGAGAAGGGTATATGTTTGCGTTATTCCTCTTTCTTTAACCTGTATCTAACTTTCTTTAACTTCTGAAACAACAGCTCATGCATGTTTACGACTACATCGACTAGATATTTGTTACAAAAAATATACGTAAAAATTTAGAAAATGGGTGGATATACATACTGTTCTACAACAATTCTTCATCTAAGGCTCATTTCATATTTATATTGCTGAAATATAACGTTTATGATACCTAAAATTAGTGTGATTTAAATATAAGCGGGAATTGATAAAATCTAGCGAGTCAATAAAATGCCATATGGTGTAGCTCTTATTATAGATCTCTCACCATAAAATCATTGAACTTTTTCTAAATTAATTCTCTATTGTTTGATTTTAAAAGAAAAAAATATTAGCATTAAGAGAGATAAAAAAATTTTTAATTTAAAAAAGTTAATAAATTAAAGTTTTAAAGCAGCTAAATTAAGTTAAAAATCAATGCATTTAAAATTAATTAAGTTAAGTTGAAAGTTATTAACTTTTTAACTTTTTTTTTAACTTTTAACGTTTTAACTAATTACTACCCAACCCTGAGCATTGTACTATTCTTTACATAAATGACTGCACATTATATCTATATCTTTCGTTCTCTGTAAAAATAATTCAAGCAATCAAATTATATTACACAATGATTACATTCGACTATGATTGAATTTTTCTTATAAGAAGGAAAACATGTTTTGTTTTGACGATAAAATTCGTTTTTAAAACCTATATCTTGTCACTTCAGCATGTGTTTTAACCTATTTCTACGGAAGTTCGTCATAATTGCATCACAATTTGATATGCTACGAAGTGTATTGAAAAAAAGATGTGCGTGTATGCGTGCGTGCGTGCGTGTGTGCGTGTGTGTGTGCGTGCGCGCGCGCGTGTGTGTGTGTGTGTGTGTGTGTGTGTGTGTGTGTGTGTGTGTGTGTGTGTG